CCTCTCGCAGGAGCTCATTACCGTATTTCTGGAACAGCTGAACACGGCGTCCAGGGACGATGGCGTGCGAGTCATTGTCATCACCGGCAGCTCTTCTTTCTTCTGCGGTACTGTACCCTGTCCTACCCATACCCATACTCCGTACCATGGGCGAATCCACACGCCACAGGGGTGTAGCGCTCTATGTTAGTGGCAGGGCTAAGCTGAACTGGAACTGACGTGCCAATAATTCTTTAGCGGGAGCTGATATCGGGGAGATCTCGCGGCTCGATGCGGAAGACGCGCGGGGCTGCCGCTATCTGGCGGACCTTTGCTCGGGGATGCAGGCCGTGCGCAAGCCCTTGATAGCTGCTGTTGAGGGAATGGCGGTGAGTTTAGTTCTTGATCCTACCCGAGGTGTTGGTAGAGGCTAGACTGACGATGGTTTTGCTGGGGATTGACAGCTCGGAGGGGGCTTTGAGCTTGCCCTCATGGTAGGTTGAGCCTTTTTTTCCTTTTCTTTCCGTGGACGGAACCCGTGGGTTACTGACGTCTCACAGTGTGACCTGATCTTTTCCGCGGACGGAAGCCGCTTCGGTCTTCCAGAAGTGAAGATTGGTCTTATCCCTGGCGCCGGTGGTACACAGCGTCTAACCAACGCCGTGGGAAAGTACAAGGTATTTCCCTCCCCCCAAACCTCGTGCTACTTTGTGCTGACATGCGTGATATAGGCCATGCAGATGATCCTCCTTGGCCAGCCCATATCAGCGGAGGAGGCCCGGTCCGTGGGTCTTGTCGCGCAGCTGTATGAGAGCGGCGAAGTCCTCGAGCATGTTGTGAAGGATCATGCATCGACGCTTGCGGCCCTGAGCCCCACGGCACTGGGCTTGGCTAAGGAGGCTATATGTAGATGTGAGTGGTCATCATGTAGTTCGTGTGCTACGTTGACTAATGTGTTCACCATAGCTGATGATTTGGGGGCCGATCATGAGTTTGAGAGGAGTTTGTATTACTTTGCGTTTGGGACGGGGGATAAGCGAGAGGGTGTCAAGGCGTTTTTGGAGAAGAGGAAGCCAGAATGGGGGCCTAGGTAACTGTACGCGTTGGTCCTTTTGTAAAGTGGCAGTATACATATGCATGACGCGGTGATGATAGTTAACGTCCAAAGTGTATGCCTCTGCTGGGTGATATTATTGGTGCGCGGCATATGCCTGTATTTCATGGGACGATCCCGCGCTGCCAAGCTTTGCTGTCAGTTGACGATATTGTCGATCATTGATTATCAATTTGCCAGCTTGGTTGGCCTCAGTCAAATCCCATTGCTCAGTTCTCACATTCTTCAGGCTCGGCACCGATGTTGTCAACCTCCCAACACTTGTGTTCACAGTCAGTACTCCGCACTAGCTGGCTATTCTTCTTGGATGTCAAACTGGCATTGATGCATTCACTCCTATCTTGGACCCCTCGTGAATATCAGGTGATTACACGTTCATGTCAACGTGTATCATGCACTACTAAACGCCGTTCCGCCTCGCCTCGGTGGACGACATGCGCAAGTCAAGCTCAGAAATCATCTCACGGATCATCCAGCATTCTTCAAGCCTCATGCAACGGTGGGCCTCGACTGCAGAGAAAAGGTGATGCAGGGGTCTAGGGTTGGACCGGATCTGTTGAAGAAAACTAGCTGCATGCCAACACATGGTCCGGCACGGCACGTATGTATAATCGACATGTAACGTGGGTTGAGCAAAAACGACGTACCTAGTTCAGTCTCGACCAACAATTTTTGTGAAGGTTCTTTGATTTGCTGTCATGGCAAGGATCTTGTCAAAGCGTGCATCAATACCCTGTTGGCACAAATATGCGCTACGCCGTCCATCGCTAACCAACATTTTCTCTTGACCGCATGTAGTCTTAAAGCCACGATACGAATTGACTATCTAAACGTTCACTGACCAACACGAGAAACTACACAATTCGCGTACAATTACTGCATTTGCCCATGTAAAGTCGTACGATTTATGCTCCAGGCTAGGGTGATCCTCCCGCATCTCATCGTCTTAAGCAGCGCCACGCCGCGACTAGGTAGCAATAGTTCGTGGTGAGCCCCTGGTACAAACTCAATTCGTCATTGGTCGGTGTACTTAAAAGCCCAGGGTATGTTGTTCGCGTATGGATTGACTTTTGGACATGCTTTCGATAGTCTTCAACGTAACACCCATTAATGCAGCCTCGAACTTTAAATAAATGAAAACGACCTCTCTCTGGTACGTGCCTTTGCCGATAAGATCTTGCCGCGGCGGGATGTCACTGCGGTTAGAGCGCTTGTGAATATATTCGATATTGATATTTGATACTGTGTCGAGATTTGTACCCTTGCTCATCCATAGATGATTGATAACTATATAACTGAAGAAAGTAAGACAAAATTCCTCCCAGATTTATCTCCCATACTGGTCAGCAGATACCGAGTTCATAAACGTAGTGCCGGCCAGTCGGAGAGTATCAGGCTGAGCCATCGATCCATTGGGATTGAAGTAAAAGTGCTTCCCATAGCCACCGCCATTATTGAAAACAGGCCACTCGGGAACACCGGAAACTACACAGTTTAGTTTGATATCGTGCATGTAGGGGACGTAAGAAACTTACTTCCATGTTCGTTGGGGTTAAGCTCAGTGATGAAGCTGATCCACATATGGCTCACAAGCTTAGCAAGGTCGAGAACCTCCTTTGATGCGTTGACAAGAGGGCCTTGACCCTTGCCGTAGCCTTGGCCGAGCATGTTGTAGAAGACATAAGCGACCTCGACGAAGTGAGGAGTTCCAATGTAGTCGGCTACAGTCCATATTAGTAAACACAAATCATCTCAAGTGTGTGAGGGATATATTTACGCATGTTGGTATTGGGGGACTCAAACAGGTACGCATATGAAGTCACGTTGTGCTTAGACCAGGCATCAGTTCGAGCACGTCTCCACGACATGAAGATCTGGTCACCCTGCAGAGCAGCCCATCTCTTATACTGCTTCTTGACAGGATCGCTTGACTTGTAACGGTACCCCGATGGAATTCCAAGAGCATCGATGTTGGGATACAGCGCCAACAGTGTGTCAATGGTGTCAGCATCAAGTCCAGCGGTTCGAAGGTTTGAAACAGCCTCTTCAGTAGAGTCGACGCCAGGCAGACCGAAGAAGCTACCCTCATCGGCATTGGTTCCAGCCATGAGGGGTACCTTGGTGAAGTTTCCGTTGGCGAGAAGCTTGGAGGGATAGTCGGGGACAAAGTCATCGTCAACCACGGGGTAGAAGCTGCCCTGGATCTTGCTGCTTGTGGCGTTGAGCTTCTCAAAGGGGACTTGGCGGAGACAGGCAAGCTTGTCGGATTCCTTGTCACAACCAACCGCCTTGACGATAGTGTCGTAACGCTGTTGTGGTCCGGTGTAGTTTTTCATGTCAGTGCCGTCAGCTCCTGATTCGGCGATGATACCACGGAATAGCCCCTCGTCAATGCCTCCGTACGCCATGGCTTGGTAGCCGACGTTACCACCTCCAGCACTCTCACCGAAGATGGTAACCTTTGAAGGGTCACCGCCAAAGGCAGCGATGTTTTCCTTGACCCAGTGCAGAGCAATGCGCTGGTCCTTCAAGCCGAGGTTAGCAACTCCGGCGTCGAGGATGTCCTTGCTAGCCATAAATCCCCAGAAAGAAAGTCTGTCTGTTGATCGTTAGTCACAGGTGTAAGCGATCTAAGATAGTCGGCTTACAGTCGACGGAGACTCCGATAAAGGGTTTGCCCATCTTGACAGACTCCTCTACCATGAAGCTCATGTTGTAAACACCGTTGGCGCTAAAGTCCATGGTCCAGCCTCCACCATGGATAAAGACTCCGACTGGGAGTTTCTCCTTCTTGCTGCCCTTGGACATAGCAGGCCTTACGATGTTCAGAGTCAAGCAGTCCTCGCTGAAGGTCGCAGGACCTTGATCCGCGCTGTTCTACGCGATGTCAGAGAGGCTTCACACGAGGATGAGAACGGAGACCTACTCCATAACCGACACAAGAATCAGCATACTTGGTGACCTTTTTGACCTTGAAAGTCTCGTTCAAGGGCTGAGGGTTCTGAAGACGAAGTTGGCCAACAGGAGGTTGAGCAAAGGGAACACCGAGGAAGAGATCTTGATCTAGTCCAGCGACATATTTGCCCTCAAGGGTACCGTTCTTGACTCGCACAGTAGGTGCTTGTCGTCCAAGGACACTCTCGGTGAGAAGAGCGACCGCAGTGGCCAGTTTCAGGAGAGAAGGCATAGTGAACAGAAGGCTTGGCGTGACACTTCTCGAGTCTCAAAGCCATCTTGCTAGTGGAATTCGAGATTATTTATTATTCCGGCAAGCTTAGAAAAATCACGGCCTTGGCCGACCTATTGACCAAAGCTCCGGCTAGAGTGCCATCGAGCGGAGAACAGAAAACGTCATGCGGAACAATTCCCATCAAATCCATCAAAACCTCTCGATGCATCACGCATATTATCAACCAGGAATACCACGCTACAACCATGCCATTCCCTATTTCGACCACAATTCCGAAGATTCACGCTTGCCGAGGTCAACTGCCGTCCGCTCTTTGCTGAATCGTAGTCGAATGATGCACGCAAGAGTATTCCCCATGGGGAATCGCAAATAAACAACATGCGGGGACCTTGGATGGCAAAACATCGGGAGACTTGAAACCCCGGATATATCGATGGGGAACCACAAACGGGCCGTTAAGGTTCTTGTGATCGGGCCGTAATTGGCAGCTGGACCACTAGTGATGGAACCATGGACCTGGAATTGGCCGAGGGGGGGACTTGGCCGATACTACCCTCGTCATGATCACAACCAGTCATGAGCGTAAATCCCGTCGGTGTTCACGACTCGTGGGTAAAGTGAATGTCATCTATTCTGCATGTCAAGGTGATACAGCCAATAAACGATGTGTATTTCTCCCCAAATTCTCATCTGCAATGTAACCCTAGCCAAACGGCTCTAAGAGTATTGAACCTCGATATTGAACTGGTCATTTTTGTCATCGATCAACGTGACCTTGACTCCCCATCCCGAGGCCTCAAACGACCTCTTCCCATCCATCGACAAAGTCCCGTCGTTCAATGGTTCCGCTCCATTGTTATCCCCGCAGCCGTTCGATCCGGGCGTTGCATCCAAGACCTTGATTGAACCCTCCGACGTGGCTAGCGTTGTATCGACGGTATACAGAAGAACTCCCGGTGCGCAAATATTCCCATCAACGCCCTTCGCAACACGAGCTTCGACAACCAGAGCAGAAGTATCGCTCTTAGCAATAACAACAGCCTTGACACCGCCCTCGACTTCAACAGGAGTCAACGTATGTTTTGTTGTACCACGTTCAAGAACACAGTCAATATCCTCATCGGCCAACCATCCAAGTCTCCATTTATCCCAAGCAAAGAAATCAGGCGCTACTCCTCCCACATTTCCCATAATACTCCATCCCCCTGTGTAGTAGCCAGTCGGCAGGTCCGGCGTATTAGGGTAGTAGTCGGGCAAACACATCGAGTGTCCTGTCTCGTGATTGACCGCCTTATAGCCCCACGCGATGTAGGGATCGGTGCCGAAAGTGACAGCTCTTCTGGAGAAGAGTTTCCCGTTTCGTGTAGAAACACTGAAGCTGGATCCGAGTGATCGGGTCATCTTGTCGTTGTTGCGTGTTGTCGCGATGTAGAGAATGTCCGTCTCGGCGGGTGGTGCTCTCGCACCGTTGTTCGTGTACGCGTCGAGAGCATCTTGGATATAAGACAGATGCTGTTCAGCGCTAAAGCCCTCTTCCCATCTATACGACGCTGCAGATTTGGGCATGCGGTAGAACTTGGTAGTATCGGCCGTGATATTAAGTTCAAGCTGGCCATAGCTAGCTGTCTGGTACCACTTTGCTGCATCCGGTACAAGAAGATCGCGGAGCTCTTTGACGGATTCAGAAGCCGGTGATTGAGCGTCGGAAAAATCGACAAAGATCATGTAACCCTGAATCGTACCAGTTCCAGAAATACAGTCATCCTGAAACCCATGTCCAACACTAAAGTGGGCATCGGTTCTTGGCAGCTTGCATGTTGTTGCAGCTGCTATCGCCGAAGGCAATAATGCCGACAGTAAAGAGATCGTGAACAACATTGTGAACTACACCTGAGTACCTATGGAGAGTTTCCACGGCATTTCGGACATCTATTCTAGTTTATATGCCAGATAAGTATTGAGTTTACTGGGTGGGCAAAAGCTTGGACCCGTAAATGCTGCGTTACAATCCTAGCATGTTTTGTTTATATAGGAAACACGAGCTTTAAATAATAAGGATGATGATGCGAAACGACCTTGAATAATCCCCTGTTTCAGGCCCTTCAAAAGTGAATGACCAGTTAGGTTATATGAGGGATCAGAGTTGTCAGACCATGCCCCAAGTAAATGATCAACTAGCACTATAACATGGAACAAGAATTCCGTATCACCCTTTCAGGACTTCGGAGACTGGGATAATGGCATGGAGGATCATAAGATCTATTGGTTCCCATTTCCTTCCTACCCTTTCTCCTCCTTCGGCATTAGAGGTCTCCCGTAGTCAATAAGATGAATTATAATCCGTACCGTCAATTGCTTTCTAAAATAATTAATTGGTAATGCAGAGGCCCAGCTTGATTATGTTGTGAATATAATTCTTGGAGAGCTCGATCGTTCATGTGATTGGCCAATGGTCCAACTGGGGGTATCAGGGCCTACCTTCAATTCCTTGTAAAGTTAAGTATAAACTGCCTCTACCTCTTGTAAAAAGCCCAAGTCGACAGAAGAACAATCCTGGTTATTCATTCCTGTGTTAAGACAACTTGGAAGGTTGATCTCCTTATCTGTGCAACAGAATGTCAAGAGGAGATGGACGCCAGTCTCAAGAATTAGAAACTTGGGGGTTATACTGCCTTCAGTCCCAGGCACCATGATTTCTTTCACTCTAGAGAGCATGCCCATGCGCGATGCAGAGACCCCCGGTTGTGGACCTTGATACCTAGCAAGTGTGGACATTCATTCCTTGGTCCCGTGAGATTCCAGAAGTTCTTTATCCAGAGTATGAAGACAAAGTCAGAAGGGAGCTTCTAGCTTCCTTCGTTATCGGTATTTCCACAATTCATAAAAGCTTACTGAGTCCAGCTGTGACTCAGCTCAACGCCCTAGAATGTGGATTAGAAGCAATTAGGTAAAGACGGTCATCGAGGTCCATCCGTTCTCGAATACTATATAAACTTAACCATACCTGTCATCGCCATGGGATCTTCTGTGACCATCGTAACAACAATCAGTATATCTCTTTTTCGCGTATATATATATTATTTCGAGGTAGCCTTGGTATTGAAAAGGTTGAAAGAAAAGCATCACTACCTTTCTCGCTGACCTCCTCGATCAGCGGCGATGCCTCCATCTGACAAAACTTGCAACACCAAATTCAGTCGTTCCGATGCCAAAATACATCAGCTTCAACCCAACTTAGAATATCGTCGTGCGCAAGATTTTGCGAAAATGGCTCCGTTTGTGGTTCAGCTACTGGGCAGACTCACCTCATGCTCGTCGTGAGTTGGGGCTGACAAGACTGTAAGAATAAAATGCCCTTGGGGTTCTCGGATCCTTGCAGTCTTTCAGGGGAGAGGCAGACCCAAGAAACAACCTTCGACTGACTGACTCCAAGGTACCGTTTGTTGATCTCTCATGAAGACCTTTTTCCACAAGTGCAACTCCCTTGGCCAACTTGGTAGACTCGGTGGCAGGCATCTTGCTCTCTGTTTCGGAAAAGACTTTGTAACTATTCTTAAGCTCTCCAACTATGGGATAACTGCGGCCTATAAGGTTAAGCTTTAGGCTGCAAATATAGATAATAAATAATAATATAATTTTCTTTTTCCTAATATAAGCTTGTATCTATAAGCTTTTATAATAACTAATAAATCTTATTATAAGCCTTAAGGTAAGGGAAAAGACTAAGAGGTATATAAATAAATATAACCTTAAGTTTATATCTTTATATATATATTATAATATAACTTTATAAATAATATATTAACTATAGTAAATTAAACTATTATTAGCAGTAACTTAATAAGCTAAGAGGCTTAAGACTATATTTATGATTTCCCCCTTATATTCCGTACTCTGACTTATAGAAGCTAATATTAGATCGTAAGGCAGACTAGCTTAGCAGATAATGCCCTTATCAAGGCTATTAAGCTCTCCAACATTGCCGGGATTCAGGCAGGTCGTGTCTCTGGGCTATTATCGAGTAATTGAGATTGGGCTAGTTAGCCAGAGTGATAGTCCTTTATGGTGAAGGCGGGCTCAGGTCAGTATCAAGTTTACGCCGTAGAGGAGGCTTGGATCCTCTGTATCACGATTTGCCGAATGTGTTCGGCGCCTCAGCTTGCTGGTGAGGATTTACTGTTAGATTTATGGTATAAATAATGTAAGTAGGCAGCTTTATAATATATTTTTAAAACTTTCTAATTATTTATTAATAAAATCTTTTGCAATATCGGTTTAAACTTTTGCTAACTTATTATATATCCAAGTGTTTGATACTTACTTTCCCAGATTGTAATAAAAGTGTTTATATTCTTGTGCATCTGATGACAGTCTCTTCCAGCGATGAATAAGAGTGGGCATCTCGAAATTGCAGACTCTTTACAGGTCAAATTCTAGAAATACCAGGCATTGATTGAAAGCCGTAGAACTACCGCGTTCCCTATGAACGTCGTGGGGTTTGAGGAATTGTTATATTTACGAAGAAGATTTATCTTACACAGTTTCCAAAACAGCCTGGACAACAAACATAAATATGGTAATTAAATGCACTCGGGAGTAAATCATTCTCTGAGAAAACATCCGTGATCTTAGCCACTACTACATAGGTACACATATGGACTATGATGACGCGAGCTGGTGAGAAATGAAAGCGACGAAATTGTCATACCCTATAGCTGGCTAATCGAAACGCCGGCAATGCGGATATTGGCGACTGACTGACAGATGCTAGTGCCTGAGCCTAACGAGCCACAAAATTTGTACAAAAATTGATTGCCCCTGAACCAGCGCCGCAAAAGCTGACGATAGCTTCAATAGCGTGACAAAAGGAGTTGGAACAAATCGATAGCGTGGAGGGACCACGGCCCAAAACATGGTTAGGTCAGGGTGGAACAGATAGACGGACGCTGATTGGTGGGGAGGCGCGCTACTGACAGAGCGCGTTTTCAGGCGACAGGGATTAGCATCTGATCAGGACAGGGCTAGCCCAGGGGTTTATCGGGACCTGGTTATCGGCGCAGCGTATCGCAATGGTCAATGAAGAAGCAAGTAGAGCACTGCAGCAACATTTACTTTGCGCTTAAAGGATATCAACGCGAAACTGGCAGTGCCCAAATGATCAAGGTTCAGAGTATGGAGTCTTCCTACCGACAGGAATGCTTACTCGTCATGAGCATCGTCACTAAAGCAACCTAAGGGGCGGGCGGAGCTCAGCAGCCATCCAATTAAATAAAACCCGTTACAAGTGGCGTCTTTAGCTTCAGCTGAGGAATCGTGCTGTAACAAAGAGCCCCTTCTTTTTGCAGCTCAAATAAAGAAAAAAGTAAACGAGAGACGAGAATTTTTCTCCTTTTCAGTAATTAAACATTCAAGCTTTATTTTGCGATGGCGGTGGACATTTGAGGGCGTCATCAAGGGAGAAGTTGAGTTGGCTCAAACCGTGGCGCCCGACCGTTGAAGTCTGATGCTAGCGACGGCAGTTTCGGGAGGAGAAAAAACAGAGTTACAACCCTGCAACATTCAAAGTTTATGGAGCGAAGCATGATCGAGCACTAATTAAATGGCGATAATGTGAGATTGCGAGTGCTTGTTGGCCTCTCAAACCCAAAAGGCGCCGCGATTGATGGCAGAACCCTTGAAAGTACAGTTCTGGTGATGCGCTTCGAGAAAGACGCTGGAAGAGTAACAAATTGCTTGGCGGAACAGGATCCGTTAGAGGGACCAACACAAGAAGTAAGCGTAAGCACCCCCCGCATCGCGTGCAACCTACAGTGCCCAGTACAGTATCACCATCAGTCAAGACTCTAATAATAACCTTATGAAGACAATCAATCCAATCTTCAATTGGATCAGTCTGATCGGCGGAATAACACTTGCATCAGAAACAACAGCAGCAAGGTTAATTCCCAACTACCGTGGCCTCATGGACCCCTTTCTTTTCTCAGGCGTCGTCGCAGGTTGATTACAGTGGGTCAACGAGGCGTCAAGCGTTGACCAACCGTTATGAAGTGCTACATACCTGCACTGAGACAAGCAAGATCGCTACGGTAGGTAGGGAGAGCAAAAATGATACTGTATCTAATAAAGTAAGAACCCCCTGACTCTCTTTTTTAAGCCCGTCCAGGGTCTGTAACTAGTCAGTTCCTTTATTCCCCCCTCTCTCAGCTCAGCTGTCTGTCACTTTCTTGTCTTGCTTTATTTTTTATTTTTCTTGCTTTCCGACATTCGTTTTCCTTGCATTCTTTTTCCATCATCCCATCAAACACACAGCAGATTGAACCGTCGTCCGATCGCCAGAAAATGACCGTTCCAAGGTCAAACAGAGCCGTGCTCTTGGCCGCCGTCGTTTTCGTCACCATATTTCTCGGTCTCGCGCATTTCCACAAGACTCCCTCCGAGTCAACAGCAGCCGTAAAGAGCGGAGTGTAAGATTTTCCCTTCCCCCCCTCTTTTTCGCAGCGATAAACTTTATCTGACAATTGCCCTTCTTTGAACAGCAACGAGCCCGCACCTTTTGTCCCCGAGAAAGAAGCCGCCGCTGCTGCCCCGACTTTCGTACCCAGCGAAGATGAAGAGATCGGCGCGACACCCGCTGTTGAGGTCGTAGCTGAGACGCCGAAGCCTGAGGGTCATCACCACGCTGTGACGCCCGATAAGCCTGAGGCTGATCCTGCGGAGGAGCCTAGTGATCCTGAGGAGATTGCTGAGGCTGAGGAGCAGGCTGCGAATGCTTCTCCTACTCCCGCTGCTGCTGCTTCGCCCGCCGCTGAGCAGGAGCAGGAGCAGGAGCATGACCACGAGCACGAGCACGAGCACGAGCACGAGGCAGCGCACGACCACGAACATGAACATGACCCCGAGAGCGAAGAAGAGTTCATCCCCGAAACCGAGGTCGAGGAAACACCTGAAGCTCCCGCCATTCCCGAAGCGCCCACCGGTCCTAACCTCGACGCCTTCACCCCCGAGCAATGGATCAAGCCCGCGGTAAAGGTCAACGATCCCGAATACTACCCCTACGGCCATTGGCCCTCCAAGCTTCCCTCCGACAAGCCCATCTGGACCAAGCCCCTCGGCAAGAAGCTCTGCATCATCGACCTTGAGAGCCGTCGCTTCGATAAGCCCGGCCAGATCTGGTCCAACGAAATGACGTGGAACAAGAGCCGAGAAGTCCACGGCCCATCCGGTGGTACACTGAACCACTGGGTCTACTGTGCGTCCTTCGCTTATCCCCTCCCCCAGCACTCGCTGTGTACTAATGTCTCAATAGCCAAGATCCACGGATACCAGTACTACCACATCAAGATCAACGGCTACCCCGACCGTCGCGATTCATGGAAGAAGCCCTCCGTCCTCTCGCAGGTTCTCAAGAAGCATGACGTCTGCGTCTTCATCGACTCCGACGCTCTCTTCAACCGTCTCGACCTCCCCATGGAGTGGCTCATGAACTACTGGAGCATTTCTCCCCAGAACAACTCCCTTGCTCTGCCCTACGATCCCGACACCCAGCATAACCGCGACCGACGAGGAAACCTGTTCCTGAACACTGGTTTCATGATCATGCAGAACAAGAAGAAGACATACGAGATCTTCAAGGAGTGGGATGACTGTCCCAACGACGGCGGCAAGTTCCCCGGCTGCACTAAGTTCCGCAACCGAAAGGGCTGGCAACCAACCGATCAGGGCGGTTTCGGCACCTTCATCCGCTACGAGTATCCCACTGAGATTCTCTCCCTGCCCTGTACCGAGGCCAACGGCTTTCCCGAGAGCCGCTCGGGTTGCGACGGCAAGTTCATCAAGCACGTTTGGATCGGCAAGGAGGATCGTCTCGTCCAGGCCGTCGGTGCTGTCTTCCCTGGTGTTCTCCTCGAGACCTTCCACAAGCAGTTCCTCAAGGAGTCGGAGGGCTTCAAGACTTCCGAGGACGATCTGATCAAGCAAAACGGAAAGCCTTGGTAGACGGTTCCTTTATTTTGGTGCTGGAGTTTTGTGCTTTACAGTGTCGATCGGCGTTTCAATTCCCCATGTCTACAGTTTGGAGACCAATACATGGGAGTCGGGTGTATAAATAGAGAATGTAATTGGATATAGATCTACGAGGAGAGGGACGGTACGGCAAAGCCTGAATATACAAGTTTAACTGTTCATTTGGTCCTCCCAACCTCCCAACTAGACACGCTTGATGCATGCAAGAACACGAGACCCTACTCCCCCACTCTGCGTAAACTTTAGACCAGCCTTAGGGGAGAACCGCAGCAGTTTGGACCAGCTTCTGAGGAGTTTAGGATGAGAAAGGCCTAAAGTTTGATGAGTTTATTCTTTTGTCCCAAATGCTAATCCTTGCAGTTGTCTTCTTGGCCTGTACCATTTCCCCCTTGCCCTTGAACAAGAACCGCCCAATCATATACGCCGTTGTCATGCAAACCTGATCGCAGCAATTTACAGACTTTGGCCCGCAGTGGCGGTCGTGGACGCCGTGGAGGCCCCCGAACCGGTTGAGCTTATTGACTAAGAACCTCTCTGTCAGAAACTCGTGCCCTCCAAGATCTTGATGTGTTCGGTAGATGAAGGAGTGGTGCGGTACGTACAGCGTTTCGAGACTGTAGAAAAGTTGTCAGCATGTGTACGGAATTGAAGAATATAAGCGAATGCGACGAGGATATTTAATGAAACCTAATGCTAGAGGACAAGGGATATGTGCTTACTCTGGTGCCCGAGGACCCCGAGGTGATCCTCTGCTAGACAAACGTTAGCTATTGATTCATGTAATCATCGACTGTTCATGACTTACTGCCAGAGGCACGCTGCTGAACTGCGGATTCTACGAAAGTAGTTAGCAATCGTGTCCATGAATTGATGATCGCAGTCGCATGTTATGGATGGATTTTTGGGAGGGCGCTGAAAGGAACGTTCACACTCACCGGTTTCTTGGGAGCCATCTGGAAGGACTATCAGCGATCCTGTGCACAGCTAGACGTGTCGTTACTCAGGTGGTAAGTTGATCTTACTGTGTTGATTGGTTTGCTGCATGACTGGTCAGCTGAGAGTGCTTGGAATTGGGGATGGACAAAGCCACGTAGGGAAAACTTACTTTGAAAAAGGTTTTAGGGGACTAGATGAAGACAGACATGTTAGAAGTGTCAAAGATGGGATGGAGAACAGTCTGAACTTACAACGGTGGGCTTTGAACGCGCTGTGCGAACTGCGTGTTAGCGACAAGACGAAAAACGGCGGGGATATCGGAAACGTACGGGGACTGTAATTAACAATTAACTACCTAGTCAGAAACAATCTCAACAGGATGCTCGGCCAGGAACATTGAGGACAAAGGGAACTCACCGCGCAGAATCAATCGAGGGCTTGCAGTTTGAAGTGGCTTGCGTTCCTTGCGCGATGGTTTGTAAGATGAGGTTGGGAACGTGTAAGATGTAGGAGTTGGGTGATGAAGAAAGGGAAAACAATGCGAGAGCAGGCAGAAGAAGGTGGTCTTCTGCGACAAAACCAAGGCAGGCGAGGGCAGGAGTCGAGAGAGCTACCTACCTACCTACCTTGGGATAACACCAAATGGAAACAGCCACCATTGACGTGCAGTGCAGTGCATGCAGAGTTTAGCCTTGATTGGCGCTTGATCCTGTCAAAGTATCCCACCGCTCGGCGCATGCAAGATCACAAATTCTCACCTCGATCCTTCGGCAGGTTACACAAGTCTTAAGCTAGCTTTAGGTAAGAGCAGCGTTAGTTTAGACAATTTTAGGAGACTTTAGTAGAAACAGATCCTAAGATTTGAGGACTTTATTTCTTCTCATCCTAAATACTGGTCTTGGCACCCCTCCTCGACCTTGTGAACCCTCTCCCCATGCGTCATTGCTGTGTACTCTTGATCGTATAGCGTTGCAGACCTGCGAGCACGCATCTGAGGCCTTTCGCCTTTCGCCGCATTGCCGTCTTTCTTCCTCGGCCGTCTCCTTGTGCTTCAAGTCTGTCAGCTCGATTTTCTTTTGGGTGCTGTAAAGGAAACTACGTACGAGGGCAGCTGCGCAAAGGCCATCTTGTTCGAACGCATCGCCAATGGTGGACTCGGCCTCCTTGGCCGCAAGTTTCTGTTCTCACATATTAGTACACATACGATAGAACATAACGGCAATTACTTACGTCGGCCTTGAGCTGCCAGCTCTGACAGCCACATCTCTTCTCAATAGGATAAACACTTACGGCAGCATCGTCAATGTCCTTCTATGTAGAATGTCAGTGGGTGTCCTCGGATTGCATACAAGAGGGAAATACTAACCTGGATATTTTTATCCAGTTCCTGAAACATATTAGCAATTGACCTATGGCTTGATGTACCAAGGCTGTACCTTAGGGATGCAATTAAACTCACGGCGACCTGGGCCACCAGGGCCCGTCGTTCCTTTTCGCGGGCCTACACACATCTATGTCAGTGTATGTCCACAGTGAACACTACCTGTCATCGATCTTACTTCTGCCCGGCTTTTAAGCCACTATAGAATTGTCAGTGTATTGTTCAGTAGTGGAGTATCGGGAGAATACTTACGGCGACCATTTTCTCGGCGTGCTAGAAAGAGAAACATTGTCAGTTTGGTCTTGTCACAAGTAGTGGCTAATGTTTGTTGAAACTCACGGCATGAGTACCACGGTTCTGAACAAGTAGTTTAGTATGCGGGAATACACGTCAGTGGGATCATGGGGACACAGGTTGGACTGACTTCGAACTTAGGCTAGAAATTGAAGGGGTTAGTTAATTTGATCGTAGAATTAGCAGAATGGAGTTGCTTCCAAGAGTGACTTACTTTTTTAACCCCCGCAGGGAAGGTCAAGGAGCTCCATTCAGGCGCTTCGTAACAAATCCAATACTCGAGAGAAGGGGAGGATGGGTGTGGTGGCGGCGGAGAAGATGATCGAGGTGGTTAGTGAACCAGGTGGTTCCTTGGGAAGCGATCAGGTGGGTGATATCGAGGCCCGCCTTTGAGAAGTGGCTTGGGTTTCTTGCGCGATGATTTGTGAGGAATGGGGAAGATGCGAGATGTAAGAGTTGAGTGATCAAGTTTGCAAAAGAAGCAAAAACAGAGAGTGGTCTTCAGCACGGTAAAACCACGGCAGGCAAGAGCGGGAGGGTGGGAGAGGCAGGACAGGAAGTTACTTCAGGATGGCAGGAAATGGAAACAGCCAATACCTTAGTATAGTAGTTACATACCAAGTCAAATTTAGACAGGCAAGTTTTATTTTTCATCATAGTCCGTCACTTCCACTGTATTGTTTAGACTTATTTAAACTTGTTTTAAATATTGTATTTCTGTTCTGTCTTTCCCAAGTCTTTATCCTGGTAATCAATCGTTTTGACCCCTTTGCCAAAGCGTCGATCGTCACGTTCTCCCAGACAGGAACCAAACTTCACATTTTATCATCCCAGCTGAGTTGTAGCTAAGTCGCAGTTCTCTCTGTGCGGCAGCTGGTACACCGCGCTGCATTGCAATTCGTGCATTGGGCGATCGATGCGGGTATTGGAGACGTTGAGCAGGCACAGCATGACCAAGCCCAGGTGCATTGCTCTTGTTTCGGTTCCTGATACAATTAGACTCATGCCCCAGGAGTATAGAAGATTTACGTGCCGCATTGGGGTTGGTAGCTTGGTCGGGCATCGTGTATTCTTTCTTTGTTTTCTTGGAATTGAATTAGATGGTGGCTTCACAAAGATGCATCAAAGATCGCTTGTTGTTGCGAGGGAGAAAAGCGAAAGAAAAGCAGAGTTTGTACCCCGAAATTCCTGGAGACAATGAATCAAACTGTCCTAGATTTCCTCTCTTTGACCATATTCAGTGCCATCCTCGCCTCTGATACTCTGCCCAATCTCTCGAATCAGTGCGGACTCGGGCATCAGAGTCAGTTATTAAGTGCTCCCTCAACCTGGATTCACATACCAATAACCTCGATATTGTAGAATGCTAGGCATTAGTCACTCAACGAGCTACAGTCAAAGCTGTCTTGGTCACTCCCTGGAATCCACCCTGATTCTTCAACTGTCATTATTTTCCAAGGCCAACTAACACGAAATATCATCGCCAGGTCCAGTCATCTCAGACATGTAGTTGGGGACGGTATATTAAATGCTAGGCGACATATCTCCCAGTCTCCATTGCAACGATTGCAGCAAGTTTCGGTGCCAAACTTGCAAGCCAGCAGAGCAAGCTACTTAAGGTCTGAGTCCGTGAAGACTGAAGACCAACTTCCATCGACGGAAGATGTTGCAAACACTACGCGATAACAGCAAAGTTCGACATGATCTATTTCCCTAAGATATTAAAATTTACTACATTCCTGATATCTCTAATTTTAATAGTTTAAAGATCTTGAATAATATAATGCTTTACACCTTGTGGCACTCTCGACTGTCAAATGTAACCATTATGGGAAGTCGAAATTTATGCACTTGTAATGTAGCACGAGGGAACACATAGCCCATTTCTACCTAATATGCTATATTACCTTTATTATAACCTAGTTGTCTATATGAAAGAAAAAACCATCCTCATGTGACATATCTCAAAGATTAAATGGGATTCTTCTCTCCGTGGTCTCCCCATGTCTCATCTCAATCTCCTCCAAGCTATAACCTTTCGTCTCATTCATGAATAGAATAACCATTATCGTTGTGACGAGGCTGCATCCGGCGAAGAGGTAGTATGCGCCAAACGAGGACTTGTCAAGCAGCACCGGAGTAACAAGAGCGACGATATAGTTGGCAGCCTATCAAATATGTCAGTCCATATCACAACAATGTTTTTTGAGCTTCACCCACCCAGTTTGAACTTTGCGCAAGACTTGAAGCACTGCTTCTCGTCCGTCTCGGCATGCTTTCAACAACCCACGTCCGGAAACCAATGCCCCAAGTGAAGCTGAAAGCAATAGCGAAGAAGTAGATGCAAACGATGACAACCCATCTCCCTGCGCCGTACTCAGGGTGAACTTGTCCAGACGCATACAACGATCCCATGATCACCATCAAACCGACGATCAATATTCCACCCAAGATACTCTGCATTCGCCGGCCCCACTGCTCAGCGAAGATTGTCGCAGGAAGAGTTGCTGCGAGAATCACGACAGCAGATATTCCAGATGCCAAGAACGAAGCTTTCTCGCCGCTGAGACCTGCTTGTGTGAACAGAATGGGCGCATAGTACAGCACTCCATCGATGCCACTGAATTGCTGCATACCCATGAGAAAGCAAGCAAAAGCTGTTCTGCCGCGGTATGGTGCTGAGAACGCGCATCGGAAATCTCTAAAAGTATGTTGAATGTCTTGCCATAGCGACGTCTCGCCATCTAAACCACCCGGGATATCATAGGCCTGAGCGAGAAGCTCCTTTTCTTCAACTTCGTCAATGCCGAGTTGTCGGCAAACCGTTCGAGCTTCATCCGTTCGTCCCTTGGACAGAAGCCACCGTGGAGATGGAGGTACGATGAAAGCTACCATCGACAAAAGAAGGCCGAGAAATGCAACAATGGCGAGAGGCAGACGCCATGTAATAGACGAAGTGCCAAGTCGTGATGTTCCGTAGCAGGTGAAGTAACCCGTTACGATACCAGTAGTTATGGAAAATTGCGGAAGTGCGGTCATGATGCCTCTCACTCTGGAGGGAGACATCTCTGAGACTTGAACGTAGACATTGCTGAGAAAGAGGCCCTCACCCGTTCCTTTGATGAGCCGGCCCAGGATGAAGACGCCAAGATAGGGAGCGCCGCATTCAATTGCAGCACCGATACCGAATATGATGGATCCTATGGCGATGAGTCTCACCTGTCCGAAACGATGGGCTAGAGCGCCTGCGATGAGTGCTGTCAAAGCCCCAGGGATGAGAATCGTCGACACGATAACGCCGTGAATAGTTGCAGAAAAGTCACCAAAGGTTTCCTTGAAGACAGTCATGGTGGTGATAGGACCAATACTTCCAGTGTCCATTCTAAACAGCGTCATCAGACAATGGATTTCGGAACTGTCACAATTGGAGAACATACCCAAAAAGGAATGCAACACAAGATGTTGCAACACCTGCGCTTGCATACAACGGCACCTTCATCTTCGCAATCCAACCTTGCAATGAAATCTACAGAATCATAGCTAAAGAGAATAACTACTCGGTAGTTAAGCTTATCTCTCTAGTTCTTGCACAATCTTTTCAGTCGGTGTGATCACATTTTTATTATGGAGACGGAGGCGCTTCGGATTACCTCTTTCAAGGCTGATGGGGCTGGCGGAGTTGCCACTCTCGGATTGATTACCTGGGGCGTTTATCAGTTCGCGTTGAGGTCTGTTTTGAGATACGCATGTAACATCATGGAGATAGCAATGTCACTCTCACAGTCCCTTTCAGCTTATGCTCGGAGTGTAAGAAGACTTCTGGAGTTAAGCTGAGGTGCCAAAAATACTTAGTCTAAGGTGCTCTAAATCTTCACTAAATTTACCTAAGTTTACCTAAGGCTTTTTGTCACCTAGGATAGAGCTCCTAAGTTTAATTGCATCCCCTTGCTTATCTCCATGATCTATGGTATGGTACTGGTGCAATATATGGCATGGAAATTGCTCGATTTAGGCTAGATACGCTATAAATAGCATCTTTCACCTCTCGGTTCTCAGCAGCGTGGACCCTTCTTTTAGTACATATCGATCTCCAGTGAGCTCTTCCGTAGTTCAACACAATGTATGTTAGAAGGCAGGACCGGGTATTTGTTCTTCCATGGTTCATTGGTCGCGATACGCGTGATGAGGCCGAACCTCGCTCCAGAAAACACGCCCTACGCCCAACGCCCTGCGCCTTCTATGTTGACATTGTTGAATACCCCTAGTAGACATAAGGCGTAAAGATGAAGAAGTTTATACATAACTACATTATCAATACCATTTATTATTATCTAACCTTTAAGTATAACGCAATCTGAGGCCCAGTCCAAGGCTACAAACACCAGTCTTCCAATCTACCTACAAACTGTTCCAAGGAATGTCCTGTTCACCGTCTTCCAGAAACTCTCAATTGCCCGGAGAACCATTAACATGATGTTCTTTGAAACACGAAAGCCAGTCTTTGTTATCCGCTAGTGTCTGATCCCATGGATCCGAGGTGTCGTATACAATCCTCCTCGCTTCAGTCTGGAACATCTCATCTGTCGGAATGACCCCGAGACTCATTTGTCGCTGCGCATATCTGCCTAGGTGATGAACCAGAAACTCGGGGAATGCCATGGAGCTGCTGTCCTGTGTCATTGAGCGTTGCGGTCGCGCTACAGTTTCCTCCACTGTGTCCAAATTGCCCAGACCGTCATCGACAAAATCCGTGGTTCGTCCGACGTTCTCTCGAATCTGAAGAAGATGGTCTCGACAGCTTGGATCAGTCGCTGAGAAGGGCACGGGACATTTTCCTTCGACCTCGATCATGTAAGGCGAAAGCGCATTCGTCACCCGAGCTTTGACGTGCGGTTCAAAGTCATGATCCCCTTTCCAATCAGCCATCGTATCACCCTTTCGAAAATGTTTCGCCAGATGTTCGACTCGTTCTTTCCAAGTCTCCATTCGAAGACCGCAAATTCCACATCTCGATTTCACGGGTGGTCCCTCGACTTTCCACGAATCTATAACCGGGACCGTTTTCACGTGGTGGACGAGTCGAAGGTGCTGGGTAAGATGATCTTTTCGACTGAAGACCGGAGGCTTATCGTCGTTTTGGCATCCCGCGTGGTTGTGAGTTTCGAGGTGCTCTGGAGTTGGGTCGAGTTGACTGCAATATGCACAGTGGTTTCGTCCTGTCTCTGGAGATACCACTACTCCTCCAAATGGCGCACATCTCCAGCCTGCAAGGTCGAGATGAAGGGACTTTTCGTGTCGAGCCCAGTCATACTTACTCTTGAACTTGTCACAGCAAAACGTACAAGGAAACCGTCTGTTCTGGGGTTCCTTGCCTTTGGCAGTAGAACGTTTCGTCTTGGTGACTCGCCCTTTGAGCGACCCCTTGCGAGTCGCGGACTGAGGTGATCCCACCGACGCAGAAGAACAGCTCGTCGCACTTCCTAAACTATGCGTTGACCCTGCCCGACTCCCGACACGACTTCGTCCTAGGCTCCCAGCAGATGAGCGAGTTCTCAATGGCGTTTTTTGTAGTGCATCGGCAATGGCGGACAGTGACGCCGCTTCAGCTTCCGGGGGCGATTCTTGCCATCTTTGCATAGGATCTAAAGTGCTGTCGCGCTGATGGTTATGGCGAGGTATTGAGATTGGATCACTTCCCGTCCGATGAGGCTGACGACGGAAATAATGGCTCCGTTTACGTGGAAGTCCGCGTTGGGAACTCTCAGCTACCGGAGAACCGTTGAGGGATTGTCCGAATCCAGGAACTCCAAATGGGGATGTCGTCGTCGGAGTTCCCGCTCGATTACCCGATGTTGCCAATGGCGAGATGTTTCCCCCAGTTGGTGTCTGTGCCGCAGTGGGTGTTTGCCACGGATTCAGGCTCAATGCAGGATCAAGCCAGAATTCGCTTTGTTGTTCTGGTGGGATCATGGAGTTGAGCAAATCATGGGTGAAATCGAGGTGCTCATGGCCAAACGAAAACTCATCATTCTGTGGCGGAAAATACGATTGCTGGGTTCCCTGGTCCTCAATCGGCGCGTTTCTCTCATCAACAGCCTGATTCGCAAGTCCAAGCCTTGCAAAATCGAGTTCCGAGAAGGTCAAGACTATCGGGTTACGCATTAGCGGATCTCAAACCCGAGATGAAAATCTGCTTACTATCGCCATCAACGTCATCCGACGGCGGCCGTCTCGGTGCACTGGACCCCATTGCTTCGACTCTATGTCCCTACAATTACCAGCGGGTAAGCGCCTGTAGTTATTAGGTACTTTTGCGATGGTTGTTGAGGCCAGACAAAATCAGTCATCGAGGCGTCTTCTTGATGACAAAAAGGCGTCGTTGACTTTCCGGAATCGGAGTGAGACTAACCCCCACCTTGACCAAAATTCGTGACACCGAATATGCGATACTACGTCTCCATCGCGGAACAGTCAGAGGCGATTTACTCCCTTGACCTAATCTGCTTATTTTCAGCCGCAATCCTGGTATTTCCCCGACTTTTTCTCCATAGTTTGCCATATTAGAGTGATTACTCATGCGCATTGGATTGGCACAGACCTTCTCCATACTTGACGAGTCATAGATAAGATTATCTCATCAAATTTCCAACGAAGACAAAGCTATGCGTCACTTTAGCGGTATGGGCTCGCTTCTACGGCCTGTAGCTTTATTATCTTCTCCGTAGACGGCCTGACTCACCGAGCTCAGCTCTATGCACTGGTGGCACTGAAGCCATTTACTATGGTAGTGAACGACACGTGGACTTACAAATCGGCTAATTCTTTTCCATTCTCCAGTAGCTGCTTATCAATATCCAGTAAGTGATATGTCCCATATCTGTGGTGCCCCAGGTTCAATCTTTGCTTCTCATTCCTCAATGATGATGACCAAGCACGGCAGTTCTGTGAGAGCTCTTCAAATGAACATATAGTGGCACCATTCAACTCTACATGACCGAAGAGTACATAATTGTTCCCAAGACAGTCGCCTTAATGCTGCAGCTCATAAGGTATTGCCTTCTGCTCGTTTCTGGCTACGGTCAGGTTCAAGCCAACGACTTTTGGAGAAGTTGGGGTACTGATCGCTGCTTTCATCTGTGCTTACTACAGAGCATCGGGCGCGATCGGAGCTATCCAAGGACTATCGCAAGGTTTTATTGTTGACAAAGCGTTGCACCTTGAACGTCGACAAGCTGGAGACCTTGCATGTACCAAGGCAAGACGTTTGACGGACCCGATCTCTATTGAGCAAAGCAGGCCAATAACTCCTACATCATCTTAACCTTCCCTTGTCCCTCCATCTGTTTTGGTGATCGTCGTTGCTGTATAAGTTTGGTGACATTCGCGAATGATAACACAGCATCGGCCCAATCAGTGCTGGTAGCTCGTGGCGCGTGACGCTCTGCGTAGGGCGTGAAAATGGCTTAGCTCGGACCAAAATCGGAGCATCGCTTTTGATAGCAATGACGCTTACCCAAACCGATCAAGCTCAATATTTTTCACATGAATACTCCGTAAAGGAGGACTTATACGAAACCAACAGGCTACGAGCGAATAGCATGTCACCTTTGAATCAGTTGACTCGGGTTTGAATATGGCGTAGCTATGCATAAGATTTTAGATAGCAACAACAGCTGTCATCGATGATGATCTGCGGGCCTCATCGCATCCTCTTCTAAGTTAGCAGCTAATGAGTTGTATGGCGATATCGAATCGCCTCTCCCTCCTTTACTTCGTCCTCCTTTATCGTGTCAACTTGGACTAGCGAATGCGACAGTCCCTTCCCATCATTCCTCTCATCAATGACCATAGCCGTCAAGCTCTTCCCATATACACAGCCAGAGTCCAGGCCAAAGGTATATCTTGCAACCTCGGGCGAGTCTGCGCCAACCTGTATTCCAACTCTTGCATCGTGGCCATAGATGACAATGCTTCGCTCGTCAGGATTCTCAATCAAGCACTGCCATCGATTCCAAGCATCAATCCACCAATCTCCTTCTCGGGTTTCGAGAGGAAATCCAACAACACCTTCTTCGTACCGACCACTGAAGCCTTCGCCGTTGTTAACAACATCTGCCCATTTCTCCAACTCAGTCTTTATATCGGTATCGGTAGCATCGTGGTATGCTGTATATCGTCGCGTCCGACTCTTCGCTCCCTTGAGTAGACCTGCTCGAATGGGCTCAGTGACAGTAGCTCCTGGGTCTCGGTACACCAATCCTCTCATGTTCATAACAGCCCATGGATCTTGTTCTTCCAGTGGAAGTAAGGGTACCAAACCGCCATGCGCGACAAGTAGAGTCCCAGAGTTCCAGGGTGGCGATGTCGCTCCCTTTCGTAGTTTGATCCGTAGGATTAGCGGCTGTGAGGCCAGCCAGGAAATTTGGTCATCGGTAAGATTGGCGGCAGTTGTGAAGTCGCTTTCCGAACTGTAAGGTTTGAGGTCCCCTGGTGATGTTGACTTCAAATCCTCCTTCGTCTCGGATGCGGCTGGTTCGTCATCTTTGGCCTCCTTTTCCGTTTCCTTTTCCTTTTCCGCCTCAAGCGCCAGCCGCTTCAGCCGTTCAATAATATTCGTATCCTCTCCTCTTTTGATAGCAGAATGCGCAGCAAGTACCCTGTCCTCATTATTCCCTCTTATCGCACTCGCTCCAAGCTCAATCGCCAACTGGACAACACCCGGACTATCAGGCCCCTTGTTGACCAGGTCCCCGACAAAAATAAGTTTATCGCCATTGGACTTGCTATACGCGACTTTTTCAAGTAATTTCTTTAGTTCGGGCAGATGGCCGTGTACGTCACCGACAATAATGAGTCTGCCCGGGGCGATGACATCTTGGACACGAGTCTGCAAGGGGTACGACGGATAATCGGCATGAGAGCGCGCGGTAGAGGAACGGGTATTTATCTCGTATTCATTTTCGTGAGAAAGCATTTTTTTGTTGTTAAAAATAACCCTTGGCAATCTTTTGAGTTTGCGTTCTTGCTGAGGGAGGAGAAGTTATGGGCTTGTTACGAACGGGCGAATCAGATGACTGTGATTGGGGATTGAATCCACTTTGCTGATGACGAATGTGATACAGGGCATTTGCACGTGGGGACAAGGAACAAGGGATTTCGTATTTACAAGTCGAAAATACAGATTGTGCAAGCCTAGGGAGATAATTTTAGAACACTGGCAGTGATAGACTGGTCCTATGCATGGGCTGAGATTAGTCTACAACTTCCCATATATTCATTCTCAAAATCGTATATTGTAACTGAAAAGGCGTGGTGGCAGAGTGGTCTAATGCGATAGACTAGAAATCTATTCCCTTCGGGGGCGTCTGTTCGAATCAGGGCCACGTCGAGTGTTACTTTTTGACTCTTTTACTTATTTCCCTTTTGTAATAACCTGCAATCTGTATATAATATTTATTTTTATTTTCTTAACCCTTTACTATACTTAGCTTATCTTGGTAGCTAAGGTACTGTAAGAATTAATAATTATATATATTTTTTATTACTATTTTATAGCTAGAAATTATAATGTTTATTATTATTTATATTTTACTAATAATCTATAATAAAACGTAATCCTGATGCTTGAGTTATTTTATTTTATCTTTATTATAATTAAATTTCTTTTAAGAGTTTAGAGCTTGTAATTTAGTTTACAGAGTACTGTTGGAACATAAACTGTAGGTTTGCTCTTTTTGCATTAGGGTAGGTTGTGTACCCGTTGCGTTTACTGTTTAAGCATATACCTATGCTTCCGAAACAACCTACTTACAAGATCTCCTAATTCCTTAAAGGCCATTAGGTTAAGTCAGATTTATATGGATTAGATCGTTTGACCGGCATCTGATGTTAGACGCCTCGGTGGAAGGAGAATCTTCCGAAGAAACCATGCTCAGACCTTCACAGCAGGGGATGCAGAGTTCACTAGGTCCAACAAGGCTTCACTAACGCGTTCCCCATTTCCCCCTGGTTCAAAGGACCAAAGAGTTTGATTGCCGCTAAGGCAGGTGGTGTGACAAATGCATGATATGATCTGCTTCAGCTCCGTTACTCTGATCAGGAAATCCCCCAATTTCCAGTTCCCCGGGATGCCCAGGCCCAAAGCAGCAGGGCTGGAAAAAACCAGAAAGTCTAGAAATGCGATATCTTTCACATGGCATGCTACACGGCCAAGCCAGAAGCTTTTCAACGCCTGGACCTCGAGAGAATTCGCTCAATAAAGAAGCATTCGTTGGTTAGCTCGCATACCAAACGCTCTCAGTGACTAGAAGCGCCCCAAAAAGCTTAATTGCAGGCAGATACGACCAAAGCGTGGAAACCTTGATGCCGGAAACTACGAGAGAGCCAATCGTGGCTTGCGCTATGGGGGCTAGAATCGTTGGTCTTTGTGATTTTCGTGTTTATTGCTGTTTGCGTAGCCTGATAGTTTGGCCCTGCATTCCAAACGTGCGGGTCCCGTTGACCAGCCCAATCCAGGCCCCAGATACGATACCGACAATCACTGCCAAGGGCCCAAGATCAAGGGTTCAATCATATTTTATCAACGATGAATATTGTGGCATTGAACTTTGCATTACCCTCTTGGCATCATTGGTTGTGATTGAACTGTCTGAACAGCTGTTGTAAGACATGTATGTCAAGGGATGACGAAAGGACCAAGAAATCCCGCGACAAGGGCGACACTCGTTTTAGCGCATCCCTTGGGCATTGAAGGTAAAACCGTAAAGACAGTTTTAGCCTCCTTTACTACCTCGTAGTGGCTGTAGCGTATAGACTCAGGGTCTTCTCATTAGTCGAATGGAAAGGTCGAATTCAGCAACTCGGGTCTGGTGGAGCCGAACCAACTAAACTTGGCAACTTCGGATGGTGAGGCCGCTGTAGCAAGCCTCGATCATTCCACACTAACAAACCCGCTCGGAATCTAGGCCCTGCTCTCCACTTCAGCTGTGATAATGGGCTCTTGAAATAAAGATCCAGCTGTTCCCCTGCTGGCTCTGGAGATCTCCCTTGCTAGAGTCGCATCATTCAGTGTTACGCTGTACGCTTGTCTTGTAAGTCAAGCCTGCACACAAAAACAGGTTGAGTTGTGTTGCACGACTCAACTTGTAACATGGAAAACACACAGTACTGACTTATTCCTCCAGGTATTAAGGGCCAGATCGTACCCAGGCACTCACCCGACGGTCCCCTCGTCTCCTCCCGACGACAAGATGTCCATCTTTGGTCGGTTCCAAGAGAGCAAGAAACAATGGCGTAACTGCATAGTGGCCTGTTTCGCAATCTATGCTCTCGGTTTTCTCTTTTTCTACTACAGCTTCCCGGTCTTTGGTGACTTTCATCAACCCTACCACCACCATGCCGTCTCTGTCACGAAGCAGTCAAATCATATCAAGCCGGACAATATCACCGTCAGCGGACTGGTATTCTACGGTCGGCAAAGTCGAGTTGAGATACTGAAGTGCTACATCGAGCGTAACCTGGTCGAAAACGGAGGATGGCTCGATGAAGTCCTCTGGGTCGTCAACACTGCGCAAAAAGATGATCTCCGATATCTCGAGGAGATCCTGGCTTCCAACCCGCAGCGATACAAGAAGGTTTATTCCGACGTGATTGCAGGGACATACACATATAAGAACATCTGGAAGAAATTGGAACGTGGAAAGTATTACGTCAAGATTGATGACGATGTCGTACGTGCAATGTCAATGTCTTGGTTCGCTAAACACTAATCACTTGTCTCGCAGGTCTGGATTGACGACAACGCTATCCCTAGTCTTGTCACACGCAAAGTCCAAAACCCCAAGGACTTCGTTGTCTCTGGCAACATTATCAACAACCCCCCTCTTGGCTTCTTCCATATGCGCATGGGTGCCATCCATCCATACTTCCCAGAGGCTTTTGAACCATTCAGCGTCACAAACGCCACTGACTACTGGAAACCTTCCCGACATCCCTCGTGGGATGGACCCAAGAAGTACAAGTGGGAACTCAAGAATGAGCCTCCTACCTGGCCTCATCATCGGTGGCTGAGAGTCCCTGACGATGAGATGCTCGATCAAACTCCTGCTGCTGAACTCAAGTACGACATTTGGGGTGATAGCTACCGCAACTGGGCCATCGTTTCTCAAATGCACATGTCTTTATTTGAGAACATCGAGAAGGACCAATTAGATCTGTACAAGTTCGAGAAACCTTGGACCATGTACGAGGACCGAATCCGAATCAACTTCATGTGCATCTATAGCGATGACATCCTCGACACTGATCCTGAAAACTGGCCCCAAGGACGGGGTGACGAGGACATGATTGTTCTTGACCTCCCCAAGAAGCTTCGACGCCGTAAGTCCTCCGCTAAATCCACCGTGCCCCATAACTAACATTCCACTAGCTGTTGTGATTCAAGGCGATGCTTTAGCTGCTCACTACCAGTACACGGACCAGAGGCAGTTAGAATCAACGGATATCCTAAAACGATACCTATCCGTCGCAAAGGATAAATACTGCCTGAACTTAGATGCAGCGCGGGGCGTCGCGGAAGCAGATCTGAAACAAAAGTCAATTCGAGGTCTCTTTTCCACCCCAAGCGGGTATGAAGTTTGATGTCTATAATACGGAGTTATATATCCTGGGATGGTAGCGTGTTGGTTATTATGCTAGAAATTGCACCAGTCATTTTTTCACCGCTTTATCTCATACCTTGCATTTTGTCCACCTTCGTGAAACTTTTGAACATAACTTTGTTTACGGGTTGTTTTATCTCGGTTGTTTGTTACCGTTGGGGTCACATAGCATAAGAAGGTCGTAGTCTACGATGGGAATAGGGGGCTTAGGGGCCAGCATCGCCAAGACCCTCTTTTGGGAGCCATCGTCCTATCACCACAGTATTTACCGTCATTTCTATTGGCATCTTCATTCATTATCAGCTGACGAGGTCTAGAAGCGCAAGACGACGAGAGATCTTGGCCTGAACGAGAAAAGCACCTGGCTACAGAGCTAGCTACGTTCATCATAAGCTATTCTGAACATGCCTATTTGGGTCGATGGCACAAGCTGGTCGACATGTCTCGCGCAAGGTAAATTGACTGACGACTGAAAAGTATCCTCTCGCAGCAGAGCTTTGGCCTGATACCTGGAGAGCGATAGGAGATTCACATGTATCCAGTGGGTTGGGGGAAAAAAGTATTATTTTCAAGACAGTTGCAGAGTTTTGCCTGCTATATACACTAATATGATATGATTACTCTACTTTCGGGTGTGAGTCACTGTCCATCGAGTCTCAATACTAATCTCGTTGTTCTTCATGTCAGAAGAACCAACAGTCAAGTTCTTCTCCGACCCTGACTCATCAGGGAATCCTGCGACGGCATAGCCGTGCTGAAGCTTATCATTCGGCCTGTAATCGTCCATCTCCCAGGTCGACAAGTTTGGATCTCGAGCAATCTCGGGCTGGGTGCTGACGGCACCTGATCGACTGGCATCCCTGAATCCTGTTGAACGCTCGGTAGAGTATTCATCCAATCGAGACCCCCCCATTCGCTTCTTGTACTTGGCGTAGAAAGGTCGGAGCATGGGAATACTGACGCAGAGGATGGCCAGGTTGGGCTCGAGGATGAAGAGGAAGATGGTGGTGGGCATGGTTCCTGTGATGTTGTTATTGAGATCGACGGTTGAGATGTAGATAAGTCGGAAGACGGCGCAGATAACGCAACTGTCCGAGTTAGTATATCCTTTTTCACCAAGAGCTAAGAGACCTACGCAAGACCCAATGCGAAACAAGAGGTGATACCAATCTTCTCCGCGCGGCGTGTCTTCAAGTTCCAAACGCTATGCATAGGAAGCGCCATGATGATCAAGTCTCCAATGGCGTTGGTAGCGATCAAGGACTGAATCATGGGGATGTACGCTCCACACTTTCCTTGCGCAGTCCACTGAGCA